AAACAAAATATATTTTTTCGTTTAACAAAAAAATATAGGGCACATCACCTGTTTGACATATTGAGCTGGCCTAATTGAGTTAGCAATACCGTTAGCGCCTGGGCATTCAGACCAATACATATAGCACATCATATACACATACATATACATATATTTCAAAGATGTTACATGTGTGTGTATATATGCATAAATTTTGAATTTAGCAGTAATTTATATTAGATTTTATATATCGCATGATTATGGGGATATGGCCGATATATAAATATATATTTATATATATGAGTGAGTGTGTGAAATAGTAGTATTAGTAATAATAGTAGGGGTACTCATGCTGGCACCAGACAAGAAAAAAATATAATAAATGTGTATGGATATATAAATAAGTACGGAGAGATTAGTTTCGAAATAAAATATATAAATATATATAGAGAAAGAAGGCAAACAAAACGAAGACGAAAGAATAATGATTATGAAAAGGAGTTGTTTATCTCTTAATTTGTTTTTGTTGTTTAGGTTAAATGCTTTTGGTAGTTCCGTTACGTGACATTTACCTGAATGACTTCTCGACATATTTTGGTAGGTACGCCGTCCCATTGGACGTTGAAGTGTTGATTGTTGGAGTTGTTGAAGTTGTTGTTGTTGTTGTTGCATTTGCTATATCTGTTTGAGCTGACTCTGGACTATTTGATTGACCATTTGTTAGCTCAGTTTGGCTCAGACTGTTCTTACGTCCATTGAGCTGACCATTTTGCGGCGTCGCTGGCGGCGTTGGCGGTAAGCCATTCGTTACTGTTGTTGTTGTTGTTGTTGCTGCTGCTGTTGTTGTTGTTCTTGATTTGTTATCAGTTTGTACATATGAGACTTGTGTGACTTGTTCTGTAACTCGGCTGTTGGGGAATACTTGAATTATTACGACGATCGAACAAAGCGCACAAAATGAAAGTTAACGCAAAATATTGAGCGAGGCGCGGCTAGCATATATGTATGTATGTATGTACGTATATATGTATATTGGGCATGGTCACAGTTGAGCACACGAAACGCATTTGTTAGATTCAAATGATTGGGAACTGCATTTGCTGCTTCACACATTGTTGATTTCATTTGGTGCCCAAATAGGTAGAGTAAACTTGTTTGATAATGATAAATTGAAAAACAATCGAGCAACAAACTAAAAACTCAAACACTTAAAACTGAATGAATTACTAAATATATAGATATATATATATGTATAGAGAGACACAACCAAAAACCGTTCCGAGAGAATCTGCCTAAAAGCGAAATACCTCTTAACATCGTACGTGTCGACAAGCGCCATAAAGCCATCCGGAAAGGCAATGGCATACGAGACCATAGCAGCTAGTTCACCCTCACTCGACTCCTCCGTCGAAACATCCAGCACATGCGAAAGCATTTGACGATGCCTGATAGCATGCTCCAGCAGGTCCTCCATAATGCCTGAACAGTATATTGATATATATTATTGTATTTATTACTTGATTATCATTCGAAGTACTCACCCGTTTGCTTGTGCTTCAGCAAGCGCGTCTTCAGCTCACCCACACTGCTGAAGCTTGTGATGTAGGCATGCGCATGCGTGCCCTTCACTGGTATGTTAAACAGTTTGCCAGCCAGCACATTGGAGGTGCCATCAAAGCCACCTTGAAGAGGAATGAATGCACATAAGATGTTATTTAATTATAGCAGACAGATAACAGCCAATTATGGCAGCTTCTCTGTTAATAAATGTGCAATAGCATTTCACTGTTATGTTAAATCAAGATCGCTTACAAAGAGTAAGCCTGTTAAGGTAAGTCGTGTTAGCGTCCGTTAAGGAGTGACTCTGTTAAGTTAACATAACTAACTGCATTTACTCTAAATGGTAACCGCTGTTATGTTAAGCACATACAAATGAAAAGTTAAAATTTAAATTAAAATTAATATGTTGACAGCATAATTAATAGCATAATTAATATTGGAAAATTTCCAGCAATGTTGCTCATATGGCTTTCAGTTAACTGTCGAACTGTAATTCTCTTTAAAGATTATCAAAAACCTCAATCAGATTTGAAATTGCCCAACATCCACTGTTAATATTTGATTTGGATTTGAAGGCGCTGTTGTTTCATGGCTGAAAACCTTTGAAGACCTTGGACGCGTGAGTCACGCGTCACGCGAATATATCGATTGAGAATGGGGTAAAAACCCAGATTGAACTCATCATAATTAAACGCATTACAAAATTTAAGCCAAACTGCCAGGCAAACGGCAATTTTTATGATGGCCAAAAGAGTTGTAAAAGTATAAAAGAGAAGAGGTATAAGGAAGCGAAGTTACGATGTGTGAGCGCCTATTGAAATTTAGGTGCCAGGCGGCGATAGGTACGTATAGGCTCACCCTTCCCTGCCACCCACTCTCCGCACACACACACACACACACACACACACACACACACACACACATGGAACAATGGAAAAGTTTGTGTAGTTGGCCTGCGGCGTTGCGTGTGCCACCCACTTTTGAACACATGGCGAAGTTCTTGAACTTTACAGTGTGAATGGAAGCGAGACAAAAAGGAAAAACTGTTTAGCGTTATAACAAGGTAAAAAAAAGGCCGGAGCCCACATCGAGTGACAGTGACACGTGCTTTGCATGCAAGCACATCATAAAAAAGAAAAACAAAAAACAAAAACGACCAAAAAGCCAAATATGAAATTTCAACTCCTGCCACGGCTTCCCCCGTCTGCCCCTGCTGCTGCTGCTGCTGCTGCTGCTGCTGCTGCATCGATCAATGGCAATCCAGGCGCCAGTTTCATGGGGTATTTGCTTTTTAATTGATTACGACCCAGCTGCATGCAATTCGGCAATGCCGAACACAAGTCAAATGTGATATATGTATCTTTTCGCACACGTTTGACCTTAGCTGTCACGGCAAATCGGGCATATTTACCTGTATAGGAATACTTGGATGCGGACAATCCGCCGTCCGGTCCCTGCGCACGGCGCAGTCCAAACTCCAGCAGCTTAACGTGTTTGCCAGCCACCATGCGATAACGCGCTGCATTTGTCGCCATTAAGCTGCGTTCATAAAAGCGAAAGAGAATTAAATGCTCGCATTATTAATATGCTCCCACTCCACGTATCACACGTTCCCGCTCACCCGCTCACCTGGCATAGTTGACGAGCGTGAGCAGCGTTGTCTCCAGCAGTTGCACGATTATCAAGGGTCCTTCTAGCTTTATGATCGGCACGCTGTAAAA